TTTTTCCTGCCTTGCATGCACCGTTTCTAATTTATAATTCATGAAGAAAACACAAAAGAAATTATGAGCGTGAAGGAGTTTGTATATTTATTTTGATATACAGAATCATGCTGATTTACATAAACTTTAAGTTGAATTTTCTCACCCAATATCATTAATTTATTTTAAATTGTTGAAGAATACGAATGTTCTCATGGAGACTTTTCACAAACCATTTACAACATTCGTGTCCGTGTTCGGCTCGAGTTTGTATATCCGATACAACACGGCCAGCCTAGAGAAGAGGTCCAATATTGGGAGAGGGTTACTTCAGGAAAGAACTGAAAACCTGCATGCGGTGTTTGGTAGCCGTAGAATCAGGCTGGAAGCATTCTTCTCACATGTGGTTGAGGCAAAATTCTAATCACACAACTGCATACATTGCAGGACGTGAAAAGCACGTGCACTTCAAGATGTTTCATGCAGCAAGTTCTTCATTCGTTTATTTTAGTACGAGGCAAAGATGCTTGCTTTAAAGCAGTCACACCAGGATGAACTGGCCTCACGAGATTCCAAGATTTCCGTGCTTAAATTGCAGTTGGAATCCGCATTGAATCACAATTCCAAGTAAGGAAAATATTTAAATTGAAAGTAATAAACTAAAAGTCTTAATAAAACTAACTCTATTTGTACTCGATAGCTTTATTCCAAACTAATATCATTTTAATTTATTTTTATACTAAATTAAAATGAATCAAATTAGTGTAGAATAGAGGTATCGTAGTTCGAAACAGTTTTTCCTCGAATCCACCAATGCATGGCCATCCTTGATTAATGGTATAACAACATCAAACAAACAGGTGCCAAAAGAGGCGAAGCACAAACGAGACCATGTCCCATGCAGGGCGCAGGAATTGAACCCAGTCGAAATGGTGAAAGGCACTGCAATGCATGCACTAAGTTCTCTATTGTTTCAGGGAAAGACAACGCCAGTTGGATGAACTCACAAAAGAACTTACAAGAATGACAGATGAAACGGAGTTACTAAAAGCTAAACTTCGCGCTTTGACTAAACAGGTGATACGATTGGCGGTGGCTCGATTCATATTAGTGATTGTCCGTCCATCTTACAGATCATCATCCATCTGACAGATTATTATCTGTCTGACAGATCATCCATCGTACAGATCATCATCCATCTGACAGACCATCATCCATCTGACAGACCATCATCCATCTGCATCATCCTTCTGACAGATCATCATCCATCTGACATATCATCATCCATCTGACATATCATCATCCATCTGACAGACCATCATCCATCTGACAGACCATCATCCATCTGACAGATCATCATCCATCTGACAGATCATCATCCATCTGACAGACCATCATCCATCTGACAGACCATCATCCATCTGACAGACCATCATCCATCTGACAGATCATCATCCATCTGACAGATCATCATCCATCTGACAGATCATCATCCATCTGACAGACCATCATCCATCTGACAGACCATCATCCATCTGACAGATCATCATCCATCTGACAGACCATCATCCATCTGACAGACCATCATCCATCTGACAGATCATCATCCATCTGACAGATCATCATCCATCTGACAGATCATCATCCATCTGACAGATCATCATCCATCTGACAGATCATCATCCATATGACAGATCATCATCCATCTGACAGATCATCATCCATCTGACAGATCATCATCCATCTGACATATGTCAGATCATCATCCATCAATGCAACAACGTACATAATTACAATAACCTTGTTAGCCTATATCATTATAATGTCACGCTTCTAATATTATCATTTCTTTTTCAGAGACAACCCGAGCAATGCCGCAACTGCTTAGCACTTGAAGAAACCTTACAAACAAAGTTGAAAGAATTGCGAAGCAAAGATGAGTCTATTGCGCAGTTACTTCAACATGGTCAGAAAATGGCGAAACAATTATCAAAACAGGTAATAAAATCTGCGGAAAATAAAGTCAGGCTGGATTTACTTGTTCTCCTGCAAAAAGCTCTTCCCTTAATTTAAAACGATACCATGCCATATCATATCATACTGTATCACACCGTATCGTACCGTTCAAAACCGTACCATACCATACACCATACCATACACCATACCATACACCATACCATACACCATACCATACACCATACCATACACCATACCATACACCATACCATAC